TTCATAATCTGCTGTGATTGAAGGAAAGGCCTTATTCAAGACATCATTCATCTTGCGCTTAATTGTAAGCACATGTTGGGGTTCCAGCCTGAAGCAAGGAGTTAATTCTCTTATTATTTCACGGGATTAGAACTACAATTTTTTTTCTCCAGGAAATGTAGTGTTATTGTGAAGCCCATGCAGACATGCTATTTCATAATTAATACTAAATAAAAAGTGAATTCTCTCCTTTGTCTAAATAGTTTGCTTTGGCTCAGCTAGGAGCAGCAATTAGCAAGACAGCCTCCCTGAACGTATTTGATCTGCTACAGAGTTTCCTGCTGCGTATCAGAAGAACAAACCTGATTTCACACAATCCATGGGGTTTATGTTGGCTGAATATGGTATAATTAAAATGATCTTTTTTCTTTTTTTTTTTTTTTCCTGAAGGCTTTGTTTATATGCTTGTGGGTTTTTGTTTGTGGTTTTGGTTTTTTTTTTTGTGGGAAGGCACACACGTACCTAATTTAGCAGTTTGGTTGATTTACACTTCTGCTTTTTACTGGTTCCCTTTGTAGTGTTCACTGTTTGTAGTTTGGTGCAGAAATTGGGAGCTGTTATCATTTGTGTTACAAGTCTGTTTTATTAGCAAGAGTAGAGGAACAGTTCCCATGGAAACGTTTCCGTGTTTCATGGTGTGCTTTTCCTGGGATTTTCAAGGTTGTGTCGGGTGGGCTCTGGGGTGCTCTGGGGCTTTCTAAATGGGCACATGCAGCAGTCTATGAACACTTCCCTTTCAGGAGGGGGAGAAAAAAAACGTATTTTTAGATTGTGTATTTCCTCTTTTACAAAGTCTAATGCCTGTGAAAACAGAGCAGCTCGACAGCCCCATGCCACAGATTGATGTTCAGGCCAATTCCCACCACTCTGACAACACACCACATCCTATTTTGAAAGGCCATCTCAAAACCTGAGTGTTTTTCTTTCATTCTCTGACCTTTATGCTTAAGCCATGAGTGATGCTACAGTTTAACAGGGCTCAACGCAGTCACCTGAGCCAAGAGGCCCTTGTGTTCCTAGGGACTTTCAAAGCTTCTTGAAAAATCACGGCACCAGTCCCCTCCTGCTCTGCAGCCGAAGTGTTCAGGCCTAGGTAGCCCTACTGCCCATGGGCCAACCCCATCCCCTGGCATTTATCAAGAGGAATGATAAAAAATAAATAAATAAAATCACATGTGAAAACATCGAAACACCTCCTTTCTCACACAGCCTTTTTCTCCAGCCTCTATGATTGCCACATGCACAGGTGAGTTGCAGAGCAAACGGATTATCCTGCTAGTCACATAAACACTGCACAAGATTCACCTGCAGCCCAGATCCTGGCAGAACAGGTCCCCCTCCCCCTTCCCTTCATCCTCTTTCTTTCCAGAGTCTGGGGATGTGTTCCTTAAGTTATTTTTCTCCTTTACTTTTTCATCTGGAGACTTATAAATAAATTATTTTAAAAATTTACTTCAACAGATTCACTGTAGTGGGGTAAACCCCACCAAAGAAACTTCAAACTTCAGGGCCACGGCTACTGCATTGAAGAGAAAACTGTAACAAATTCTTATTCAAGTGGAGAGTAATTATTATGTTCTAACAAACATATTAAATAATTCATTATTATTATTTTGGCACCTCTTTGGGAGCCAGGTGTTTAGGAAGCTGTTTCAGATGGAAGCATGTAATGAAGTCCCTGCGGTCCTTCCCCACCAGCCATTAGCATGAGAAGAACCACAAATGCTTGGACAGAGCTGGAGCTACCCAGAGCCCGGCTCCAGCACAGCCAGCAAAGATCTCATATCAGTATCAGAAGATGCTATAGTTTTATTTATTTTTCATCAGTCCCCATGAATATTTCTCAGTTTTCTAATAACTTCCATGAAAATATTTGAGCTTTCTCAGGTAAGAAAGATTCAAGTAAAATTTACGTCTCTGGTCCATGTTCTCTCAAGTTTTAAAACATTGTAATATTTGTATTTGTGTTAGACTATTTATAACTTTATTTTCATTCACGCTACCATTTTTGGGTTGTTTGACCCCCCACCAAAGTACCCAGGAGCATCTCTTCCCCTCTTCTCTGATCTTTTTGTGAAGTGGTCCCATTATTTGGCTTTTCATAACAACTAAAGTTTCTCTTCTGCATATTGAAAACTTCAGTGTTAAGTCCCAGTCCAATTGTTGGTCCAGGAGGTTTGTAGTATTTCCAAGCATGTCAGTCTCTTAACACTCAGCCACACCATGCTATTTCTGGGATAAAAAAACCCATGATGACTTTGAACTCAGCAAGAAGAAAGGGAGAGAGGTTCTTTAAAACAAACAAAAAAAAAAAAACACAAAAAAAGAAAACCATCCAGTTATTACTAGATTATTTGTTGTTTCTCCTTCCCCCAGCTCCCAGTACGGCCTGTATCAGATGGGAGTTGCCAGCTCTGGCAAATGCCATCTCGCGATCACTTTGGGGCCTGACTATATGTGCTAGAAACTACCACCATCACGAAGCAGCCCAGCAAATGCCTGTTCCCTGGTTGATTAAATAATGAAGAACCTCCATTTATTAAACCTAGACAGAGCTGCTATCGAGTCAGCTGTTCTTACCTTCAGGGTTTTGGATGAGCAGAGTCACAGCACTAGTTGCCGGCTTGAGGACATTCATGGCTGGGATCCCTGTGCACCTGGTTCACCTGAGCCTGGAAAAGACAAGTATGGAGATATAAGGAGGTCTTGGCATTACATATCTGGCAGCTGCATTTGCTAGTCCATTCTGCAGGAATTTAAAATAAAAGACAGTCCCATCAAGACTTTTTCCACCCTGAAAGTGGGGAAAGATGTGGCTGAGCCACTTTCTTCTGCATCAAACTGGCAAGATCAGTATAAAGAATTCACACCACCCTGGGACTTACTTCAAAAACGTATAAAGAATTAAACGAACCAGTGCCCCAGCAAGAGTGGTATTTGTTGGGTGGGTGCAGGAAGCCTGTGGGGCGTTTGGTGTTTGAGAGGTTTGGGCAGCACAAAGGAGCACAGGGCCAGGTGCCGTCCCCACGCCGCAGAGGCTGTTTGGGCTGGCTGTGCTCAAAATGTTAAGAAGGGCACGCTGGCTTCGTGCCACCTTCATAAACATGTCCATCAGCTGCAACCTTTGGGGAACGGGCTCTACTGAAACCATTCACTTGCTGAAAAACAAACTGCCATTCTTTACCTTCTAACCCTTCAGCAAAGCAGCTTCTCTCCACTCCCGAATGTAAAATCCACTCACTGCATCTGCGATGCAAGTGCTATTTAAAATTCACTCACATAGTGAATTTTATAGCTCATTCACGCTCAGCTCAGAAGCTGAGAATGGGCCCATAACAACATGTGCACATTTTTGACTGAAGCAGAATTATGCTAAAAACAACCGAATGAGGAGTCCACAGTTACATTGTACTGAAAAACTCCAAACCGTGTGGGCAGAGAGCAAGACAGGTAAGATGGATGTCCATAACTACTACACTAATTTTTATTCATTAGCACAGAGACATAGCAGCAGGCTACGGGACCTCTCCAGAACACTGACCCTCTTCACACACATACCACTCACTTTCTCCTTTTCATAAGCCCCCACAGATTGATCAGCTTCAAGATACTGATTGTACTAAGTATTTTTTTTTCCAGAAAATTTAATGCAAGTTTCCTGCTCACTGGCACAAGCAGTAAGGGGCAGCCCTTGCGCTGCACTCTCCCCCCCACATGCACAGCCCGTGGTGGGACGAGGGAGCCCAGTCCAGGGGGCAGGGATGCAGTGGGCACAGGAGGCCACCGACACACAGCAGGACACAACCAGCCTCCCCCCGTACCAGCAACCTGTCCACATCTCTTACCTGAGGGAAAGGGCTCCAGGAGCTCCATGTCACCCCGTCCTTGCCTGGAAGGCACACTGTGGAAGCAGGAGGGGCCCTGGGGGGGTGCCCTGGGGCTGCCCTTGCAGCAGGGCTGGGGACTTAATGCCTCACACCTGGGGCACGCAGCTGGTGGAAATCTGGAGCTGCTGCACAGCGCCTGCTGCCCATGTATACTACATACAGTAGCTACCCCAGTTAGCATAAAAGATATAAGCAAGTCCACATATCTGGGATTCTTTAAGACACCCGGAGAGCAAGTGAACAAAATCCACAACAATTTCTCAACCAAACAGGAAACATTTCAAACAGCTCCTTCAAAGCAACCTGCTCGTGAGCCCAAACACCTCGTGGTTTCCATCATTAAAGGACAGCAACACCGGTGAGATTCTATAATTTATTACCATTGCTAAGATGAACACAGATACTTGATACCCAATCTTATGCAGAACTGTAAAAAAATAGTTTTAATACAGTATCAAAATTTACACAAGTGTCGTGTCAAAAGACCAGTGTCCCTCAAATTAGCCCCTGCACATACATACTGCAGGCACAAGTACATGTTTTACATCTTTTCATACATATATATATATAGATATATAGGAATACAACAATTTAAGTTTAACTATGCAAACAATATGTATGGGAGAAAACAAGATGTAAAGATAACAGACAACACAACTGTTTGGTCTGGGTTATATATAAGAAATTACGGAAGAGTGCAATGTTTCAAAATGGAAGGCCAGATTCTGCATTTCCAACTCCAGGAGAAGGAGTGAACAGGAGTTTTGCCCGAGAAAGCAATGCTAGATCAGAGGCCTTATGTCAAATGGTACCAAGTAAAAATAACAACAGAAACCAATATAATTACTGCTGCAAATTAACACACTTTTTCTGAAGACAGTTAGCAGATTTACATCATACTCCTATATAACAAAAGATTGTACAGCAACTGAGCTACATTCCACTGCAAATAGGCCACGAATACAGCACGTTGCAAGCTCAGAGAAAACAGAGGTTCTGACTTTGGCTCAAATCGTAGTAACCAAGAACAAACCAGAAACCCAGGAATTGTTGCATTCCTATTTTTTTTTAAACTTTTATTAGTCTTTTTGATGCTCAGCTACGGTAAAAAGTTAAGCAACAGCATTCAGTCACAAGCCTGTTGCACATTCATACATGAAACTATCATTGCTTTTAGATATACACAAAATACCTATCATTGCAATTCAATACACACAACTAGTATCATACACATAGATAAAAATAAACTAAGCACATCTAGGGCGCCGTCTAGTCAAATCTCAGGAAATCTGAATGACACCTTTCTGCCTCATAATAATGAAAGACATGCTCTGAGTATAATAAAACCTTTTTCTTTGAAACAACGCAAGAGTGGCAAGAAAAGCTTTTTTATAATGCAGTGCAATCTTTTAAATCCTTAAATCCTAGACTCTCGTTAAATAAACCAGCATGTCTCTAAATTAAACAGTAGAAATTAGCATCCTGACAACTGGAAAATATTTCAAAAAAAAAAAAAACCTCTGATGGAAATTCTGATTTGAGACCTGTAATAGTGATACCTAAGTATTCTGATCATTAAAGGGCTGCGAACATCGTACACGTCTTCAGAAGATGTGCATCAAAGTGAATCAAAAAGAAAGCTATCTTTACTTTCATTTAGAAAGAAATTGCGTTTCACTACAAGTACTGTAGTTATGCTACACTACTGGCTGGTTAGGAGACTTTATGGTCTTTTAGCACCTCCAAAGACAGGTATTCTACCAAAGCAAAAAGAATCATCTGGAAATTGCCTAAGCACCATTAACCAATATTTTACAGACTGAAGTGTGAGTTACTCAGAAGTGACCTTCTCAAAACTGTGGAGACCAAAGGCACAGTTTATCAATGTCTCTCCAGTCTGGTGAAAAATCTCTGTTAAATCCAGTGGCAAAATTTGTTCAGACTTTAACTAGAGATTCACTGCAACTAACCAAAATAAAACTTATTTTAGGTAACTCCTGCAGAATCCCAATTATCTTTTAGTTAGGATGCAAATACCTCAGTGCTTCTAAATGTGGTGTTGCTGAAGTGTCGATGCAGCAGCAGCATTTCACTAGCCAGTATACTGGAACAGCAGTATTGGGGAACGCTGACAACACGGCTCTTCTCAAAGACCTCTGTGCAGAATCTCAGCAAAGTCTCGTGTAGTGCATAGACATCCCGTTGTCAGCTGGGAAGTCGCTGTGGACAGACTCAGTTCTTTCTCTCTCATCGGCAGTTCAAACTCTTTCTCTCAGAGAGAGGACTTGCTCAGGGCCTTTTACATAGGTCCTTTATACTGATTTCCTGACAAATGTTGTCTAATTCCAGGGCACGACCCTGCAGCATCTCCAAGTTTCCTCCACACAACCTAGGGGGAGGGATGAAAAGAGAGCTCATTATCACCAGTGAAAGTATACTGGTGCTCATTAGACATGCATCTGGAAATGCCACACGTTCATTAAGCAGACCATGCAGCACAGGTAAGGACAGAGGGGAGGGACACACAACAGGGGGAGAGAATACTTCTCAAGGGATACAACATTCCTTCTGAACACAGAAAGCACATGCTTCTAGGTAAAAATGATTAAAAACAGAGACAAATGAACCAGCACAGGCATCACCGGGATATTTTGTGCTTCAGATACAAGACTGAGGGTGTTTACAAGCCTCAACTGAAACTTTGTTCAACTATTTCCCAAACCACATTTCTTGCAGAAAGCAATTCAGAAGCACGAAGCTCAGTCTAGAGGAGTCTAAACACTTCTAGTTTAAACAGCACAGAGCAGTTCCCCTATTTTTCAAAGATTTTATTGTTCTCTTAAAGTCAAGCAAGACATTAAAAGTGTTTATTTAATTTGTTCTTCCTTGAGATCAGAAGAATTGTGCATGTAGTCGCTGTTCTATACATGCTCGTGTGTTTTGTTGAACCAAAGTGAAATCTACAATGCAACAGAAGTTAGCAATTTTTTTCTTAGTGTAGACTATACATTATAAAGGTTTCCTTCCTCATACTCACATCTACTCCCATTCATGATTGCATAACATCCATGTTACAATTATGGAATTAAAAATGCAGAGAAGTTATAACAAAAAAGTTTAGGAAAGTATTTTATAATGATTTATAGAAAGATTGACACATTATAAGCAGGAGAATCAGTTGTTTGTGTCGTATCACCAGGCATCTCTTCCAGGGCCCACCAGAAACAAAAGTGGCAATTACCACCATACTGTGTATTGCAATTTAAGATTATTTCTGTTTAAAAATAATCAACTAGCAACCAACTAAATCATAACTGCTACTAGACCACTCATTAATCTCTGCAGCAATAGCCCTATGACAGTTGAGAAAAGCAAAATCTGTTTTCCATTGTCATTATTTATTATTTGTATTTTAACACTGCCTAAAGCCCAGGAGTGAAGAGAGATTGCATTAGCTGGAACTGAAGAAACACAAAGCAGCTAACACCCTGAAAAGATACTACCAGCCACGGTTCCTACAGCTGATGAGCAAAGGCTGAACAACACCAAGATCCTACTGTTGTTCTGTTTGAGGGATGGGAAAATAATCCAGTTCCTCTCAGCCTTTGCTGAAGAAAACCTGAGTATAAGCACAAAAAACAGAAACACTCCAAGACTGGAAGCAATAAGACTACAGTCTTACTACACAGGACCAAAAAAAGTGAAGTCCTTTAAAGGTGACTGTATTTAATACCAATGGGCGGGCATAACTCAAACCCTGCAAACTTTCAATGTAACCAGAATCTTGCAGCCTGAAGTCAGAAGTTATTATCATAAAAATACATGTGATTTAGTTATGTTTGCTGTACTATGAAACACTGTGCCATGGTGAAAGGATGAAAAGTGGATGAAATCTCCCAAAACAGCAGTCTGTGGCTGAGCCATCGGAAATGGCAAAGGGCTGGATATGATGAGACAGGTGTTTCTTTCCAACATTTGGTTACTGATTTTCCTAACTTAGTATTATCAAAAAGAAAGGTCTCTTGGACAGCTTTTGTGAGAAGGCACATTGTACCTACATATGCCTTTCAACAATTTTTCTGGTCAATAAGCATTAGACGATATTTACCAAGCAGCTAATGCTGACACAATAATAAACTAAAAGGTGACACTTCCCGAAGTCCTCTATTTCCAGCTGAAAAAATGACCCCTGACTGCTAGCAATGGAAAAACACATACAAGACAGCCCTGCAAAGCTGGCATCCCAAGCAGAATTACAAGGTGGGGTCAAAAGGAATAGTCTCCTGCCATTTTCATAGAAATAGTGAAATATTTACCAGTAACCACTTTTGCTTGTGCATACAGTGCAACAGATACCTGGGTTTCAAAGGCATCAGAGTAATTTGATTTGCCTTCTTTTCAGAAACACGAGATGATATAGCTAAATTTCTGCAGATGTATCACCAAACTCTCCTTTTGTGCTGGCACATGTACAGCTCTTTGCACAGTCATCATAGCTTACATATTGCTGCCTTCTGCACACAGAGTTATTTGGCCCTCTGTATTGTATACGCATTTTGAATTTGCGTATAGGGTTGTTTTCTTCTCAGGTCACTTGTTCAATGCTGACTTGTCACAAGCAGCACTAATGGAATTACTTTGCATTTACAAGCACTCAAAAAAACCCATAACACTTGAACATTCCTGAATGTGTTTTAAATAGTTATGACAGTAGAAAGTTCAATACTAAAAACCTCACTCAAAATTTCAGCAGAAACCTTGGCTGAATAAAGGACAGCTCTGAGGTTGATTATATTCATGGTGATTAATTTCTAGCTTATTCCCAACACCCGGGAGTGAAAGGATGGAGAAATTATCTCCCCAGAAGCCAGGCAGAAACCTGCACCCTAACTGCAGATGACAGCAGCTCTGTCACCTGCCGGCTGTGACAGCATTCAAGGCCCATGGTACTTCACGTGCAGCATGAAATACTCGTGGAGAGCTCTGGGCTCCCTGACCCCTCTTGCCCAGCCACCCCACCAATCCCATCCGGCATCTTCCCGTTGGCTTCCAGGCTCCCAAATGAGTGTGCTGCAGCCCTGTGAATAAAACTTACCGGTAGCCTGACGGAAATCACAAAGAACAACCCTCCACACTTAATCCAGACAATTCCTGTGCTTTGAAATTACCTCCATGCTCACAAACTACCTCTAAACCTGATGCTACGTTCTCCTAATACAATGCAAGTATATAAATAAAATGCAAAACCATTCCCAAATACATTGTTGATGAGGTGGTACCAATACCATACGGGCACCCTGAGGAGAGAATTCCCACAGCCATTATCTTAATAATATATAAACATGCTCATATAACACCATGAAGTTCCTACAACATGAATTACACATCCAAAAAAATGCATTTAATGCCAATCAAGACTATGCACCAAAATTACAGAGCCCAAAATGAAACTTGTCATCATTCCACTGTTTTCAAAGGCAAACGATGCTGTGGCAAATGTTTCATGTAAAACACCCACAGTGCATAAAGCTGGAGCAAAACAGTGAGCTACAAGCTGGAAGGAACTGCAATGAGAATGCAAAAGAAAAGAAAAGTTATAATTAGTTTACCGCAAATCCACTGTACTTTTAACATGGACTAGATGGATATAAGAAAAAGTAAAAGCAGAAAGGAAATAACCAACTAGTTTAAACATATAATAATATATCAATAGTCAAATCAGACACAGATTATAAAAGTCAGAAGAAAAGGTAGCATTTCAATGACAGCGGCAGAGCTTTGAATGGCTGGGGAGCAATGAGACAAGGCAGAATACAAGTATATATTTGGGATTTATAAAAAATGAATTAATAATGTCAGATTTAGTATATTAGCATTTTAGAAGTGGCATCACTTACATCACGAGAACTTTTATGGATTGCTATTAAATATGTATTAGTTAGAAACTGCTTTTTTATCCATAAATTACAAAGGAATAGTGTAGGCAGGAAAATATATAGGTGCCATTGTACAGATGGGGAAACTGAGGCTGCCAGATTTTGTCATACTTGCCAAATTTTATTCTTAAGAAGGACAAATTCAGTTCAGCTGAGTCATACAGTACTTTATTGCAGAAATATTATCACACATAGATTTTTCTGATCAATACTAGCCAACATGTTAAACTTATGGTATTCCTAATAAAACAGTAATTGCGTTACCGAAACAGTAATTGACTTAATTTCCATATAAAATCTTCAAGGGCATATTGTCAGCATTTAAAAAAAAAAAACTGCTTTGCACCTTCAGGTATTTCCAGGATCAACATAGAATATAAAATTAAATACCTTAAACTTATACTGCACATTTATCCAGCCACAGTTTTTCTGTCTCACTAAGGTAGTGGTAAGAGTCCTAAGAGTCTTTAACAGCCTGCTGGTTTATATTTTCCTCAGCTTCCAAGACAAGGGTAAGTTTAAAAAAAAAGGAAATTTTATTTTACAAATTTGTTTTGCAGTCACAAATAAGAGCGGTAGTATAGTTAAGCTTTCATGAGTCCTTCCTGAGCATTGGCATACATACATAACTGACCAATTGCATTTAAAGATAATTAGACTGATTACAGCGCTCTGGATTTCAGGGCAGGAGGGATCATTAAATCTTCATGCCTGACCTCCTGGGTACCACAGAACACTTAACTTTTCTGCAGCTGCTCCTATACTTAGCCCAGACTTTGTCTTTAATTAAAGCATACCTCACTTTAATTTGTAGATGGCATAGTGGAGTTTCTAGTAGGTGACACTGAACTCAGGACAGGAAAGCCCAACACCAGTTTTGCAGGTGAGCCTGGGCCCTTGGTTTTTTGGGCAAACAGACTAGGTAATGATTCACTCCAGAAATAGACACCCTCCTCTGCAAAGCAAACCTATGTGGAATAGGCACATCTCCACACACAAGCATGCAGTTTGGTCATATGCAACTTGCAAAAAGAAAACAAACACATCCTGCTGTATGAATTAACTGCTTCTATATCCCTGATGATACCACTTGCACATAGGTAACAAGCCCACAATACTGGCAGGGTGAGGAGGATCGCCCAGTTTCAGGCACGGGGATACACACAGCAATTTCTTCTTTCAGCCACCCTGCGTGAGGGATCAGGTCATGTAGGAGCCTTTCTCAGACCAGCTGCAAGGCAAAGCTTTTCTCTCTCTTTCAGACCACTGTCCTCACCAGGGGAAGATTCACACGCAATTTCTTTTTTTTAAGTCCCCTCATTTCTCAGACAAAAAACATCGCTATTTTTAGCAACGATCTCCCTCTGTTTTCTTGTGGATCTGTCCCTTTAAAATACATTTCCTGCTGTGCGGAATGGGATTGTACTAATGCTGAGGTTTTGTAACAAAGACTATTTCTTTCTTGAAGGAATACCAAATTGCCAAATTTGTAAGGAAAAGCAGGCTCCTTACTTTGGCTTGTTCTTCCTCCTGCATCTGATTCTGCTAAGTGATGCAGCGGGAGCTCTGCGTTCCCCAGCCAGGCAGGATCAAACCCATATGCTTCACTTTGGGAAACAGCAGGGTCTCTCCTCCCTGGCTGGGGATGGGGAAGGTTGGGCAGTCTGTTTAGCTGACAGCTCACTTTCCATTTCGAATAGAACAGTATCGTTTATATCTATTTCTGCCTGCTGCAATACCTCCTAGCAATCTAAAAGCTGAGCTTTTGTATCATATTGAACCAAATTCTGTATATTTCTTATCAATCCATTTCAGCAACCAAGGTATCAGCCATTGTTCAAATATTTCACTTAGACCAACCAGCTGTTACAGGTTGTCAAAAACATGTTGTTAAATGTTCCATTCAGGGAAGTGTCTTTGCCAATGGGTATTTTAAGAGAACTACAAAAAGGTTTGGGGTTTTTTTCCTGATAAATGAATTGCCTTAGTTTTATTTTCTAGGCACCAGCTGGTGAAATATATGGAAGATGCACACAGGACCTGGAGTACAGTTGAACTGGTCACTCCTAAGCAGCCAGGCACAGTGGTTCACCATAAATCTCCTGGATGAGGGGAAGATCAGTGTGCTCATGGGCAGAGTGCTGCTGAGGGGACCATTAAGAGTAGGGACCTGCAAATGTGTGCATGTGGAGAGGGGCTCAAGCACTCTGCTGCTCCTTCCCCCGTTCTGAAGCCAGAAAACCAGGCGAGGTGGCTGCGGTGAAGCCCCACGCCAAGTTTTATGTTACAGGAAGGGATCTAATTGCTGTAATTTGTGCACAGTTCACTTGCATAAACCTATTTCCTCAGGCTTCACAGAGGAGAAGTCAATGTCACCCAGCCATGTGGAAGATAATCACTCTGCTCATGAACTCAGATGTCCAGGCAAGTCAACAGCACTACTGAGCTCTTACTGTGATCTGTGCATCTCCACAAAGCTTCAAAACAGAGCAAATGTCTACACGAGTCCCTTCCAGCTCTCCCCTGAAGGAGTGCAAACCTACCTCCTCCAAATAACCAGTATGTCCCTGCAATGTCTGTATAGGTGGGAATAACACCCACTTAACCGAATGAATATTAAAGCAGTTTAGTTTGTGAGTGAAGTACAGGAGAGAAGTGCACAAAATACCAGAAAACAGTCATGTCGGAGCCAACATTAGGAGACAGGGATACAAAGTCCACGCTCTCTGCTCAGCTCACCATCAGTTTTTAATCCTCTCCAGAGGAGCACAGACATGGCTGATGCACATGCTGCAGTGGAACACTGAACTCAGCCAGTTGGTCATTGATAAACCACTGCAACTTGTAACAGCTTTCTAAGTTCTCTTAATTGCAAGAGTTGCACTGTTGACACAGGTAGGAACTCTCAAATTTGTCCCTCTGATTGCTCGTGTCAGTTGCTCTTTATCAATGCAACACAGGTCTTTGCAATTCAACTCTGATTTCAGAGTAAATCACAGCTGCTCTCACAGAAGTTTCAACACTGACCTTGGGATTACGATGCATGGTCTTCAGCCCAAAGTTCTGCTATTTTTATTTTTATTTATCTTTGCATTAAAGTATCTCTCTCTGCATGGGTTACAGGAATCCATTATATTCCACTGGAAAACAAATACGCATCCTAGATGACGTAGAAAGACTTCCTTATTCAGAAAAGACACCACTTTCAGCTTCAAATTAAAATTGTACAAGTGTAGGTAACTTGGAAAGCGGACACAGGTGGTGTTACCCCCCCTTGTGAGGGCCAGATCCCTGCCCCGAGAAACACACAGTCCACAGATGCAATGAGTGACAAACAGAAAAACAATCCCGCTCATGACAGTAACATCCCAGTGGTGGCCACAGGAATGTTGCCAGGACAATACGACACATGTTGAGTAACAGACAGGACGTTTTGCATGGACTGTACCGGAGGAGCGTTACCTTCAGAGCATTTACCACTGAGTCAGACTGCTGAGAGGCTGAGCCATGTCCAGTGGCGCTAGCTGGCTCGTTGGCAGAGCAGTAATTCCCCTCCGCCCCTCCTGGCATCCTAATGGGATCCTTCGCAAAAAATTAAAAACTATTTAATAAAGAAAAGGGTTGGTAGCTAATCAAAACAGATGGCAATTTTTTAAATTTTTTTTTAAAAGGCTGAGAAGCACTGAAGGCATGTTTCACTCCAAAGTCCCCCTCTTTCTGCGCCACAGTAACCAAGACCCGTGTGATGCAGCTCAAGTGCTAGTGTTGAGTGTCACCCAAACACTCTGGCCCTCAAGGGTGTCTATCTGGAAAATCAGGACATAGTATTAAAATTTCATATATATATATGTTGCCTCACAAAAGTGCAGCAAGGTTCAGAGAGATGTTTTGTGACTCCAAGGGAAGGTTTTGAGAATGTCTAATTTTATCCCAATGATTCTGGAGGTTGTTCCTTCAACACAACTCACATTTTTAAAAGTTGCTGCAAGGTTTGCAACACAAGCTCAGCCACAGCCGACCAGGGAAGGAGCCAGGAGCTCCGGGCTGCCAGTTCACTCCTTCCCTGCCTCTGGCTGCTCCAGTGCAAGGGCACAGCCCCTGCTTGCCTACGAGGTGTCCATTTATACCCAACAGTGACAACCTCAGGGGCTGTTTACTCCCAGTAAACACCTGGGAGCGTTCTTCAGGACACTGCCAAACAAATGCAAGCTACCTAAACTCTTACAGCATCATCACCTCAAACTTTGCAGGATGTAAAGCATCTCCTGGAGCGACTGCAGTGCTAAGGTAACCTGAGCAAGCATCCTGCTTTGGAGGAGTGCTAAAAATACCCCTGCTGCATTCACGGACAGCAACGGGATAGCTGCACGGACAGAGATGGCCCAAGTAGACAGTTCCAAGGTGCTTTCAACCTGACCTGCTCTTCTACTGTCATCTTTCACTGTCATTCTTCATGCAGAATTTTGTTTAAAAAAAAAAAAAAGGAAAGAGAAATATAAAGGAGAAAAACTTTTCAAAGACTGAGAGAGGAAAATTTCCTTTCTTACAGAGTAAGAAACACTGTAGGAAACATTAAGAAATAATGTAGCAGTAATTCCTGCTGGAGTGTGTGGGAAATGCATTTCTGAAGGAAAAATAATGACAGTGGAAAGAGCCTCTGATCAGCATCAGTGCCCTGATGTGCACTAATTTGCCCCACTGAGCAAGCACATAGCACGTCAGAGTCTTTTTGGGGGTGTCTATAATCTAAACAATGGGAGAAATGAAGGTGGGTGTGGGAGGAAAAGGCCACAGCAAGATGACACGAGGCTGAACTGCACAGATCCAGTCTGCCTGAAAATATTTCATTGACAAGTAGCCCAGTCCAAAGCAAGTTTATACGCTGTGCATGATTTTGTTGGGATATGCCCAGGCTGTTGTAACCACCACCACGCTGCTCACAGCAGTGCCAAAGGGGCACTGAACACATTAGACTCCATCCCAACAATCGTCTGCATCCAGACTGCAGGACTGAACCTCAAGTATTCAAAAAGCCCTAAAATCAACTAAATAAACTGAGAATGGTGCACACGCTAAGCCCAAGGAAAAGGTACCTTGAGCCTGAATAGGAAAGCCCACTTGGTGCACAAACTCGTCTCCCAAACTCGTTGCTTCTGCCGAGCAACGGTGCAGTGCAAACCGCACTAGTGGGCACTGGTAGGGCTCATGCCTGGGCTGACAAGACCAGCACACACTTAGGGCAGCGTGCAGTGCATCATCCTCCAATTCTACACAGCAACAACTAGTAACAATTTGCTGTCATGTAAGGAGCAGGGACTTATTTCTCTTTGGGAAGGATCTATAGATCTGTTAGTGACCGGGTGGACTTAATGCTATACTTGGGGAAAGGAAATATGTAAGGAGCAGGGACTTATTTCTCTTTGGAAAGGATCTATAGATCTGTTAGTGACTGGGTGGACTTAATGCTATACTTCGGGAAAGGAAAGAGGAAGGAAAAGGGGTAATAAAGCAGATTGGAGCAATTCTGGTTTAGGATAAATTCTGTCAGTCAGCTTTGTCTTTTTTATAACTCAAAGTACTCTGTTCCTTTACTGACTCCAGGGCCAGGAAAGATTTTGGTCAGTTTTGAATGGTTAAATATAAATACTGCTATTAAAAGGCTGGGAAAATGAGTATGATGAAGCTGTAGATCATCCATCTAAACTCCTTGAATATGAGAAAATCCAGAACTCCTGCAAATTGTGCTCCTGTCAGAGTTCAGGCCTTCCTCCAGGCAGCTGTCCTCCACTGCCTCTTCTGTGCCGTATGCAGTGTATCTCTGTCTCTCTTCACAAGAATGAGAAACTTGTTGTGGACACACTGCTTTAAGCAGACAGCGTTCTCAACACATGTTGGTAGGAGACTGAAAATTAGTATTTGCCCTGTGGACATCCTTCTCCCTCCTCCTTCTGTCTTTGATGAGACACATAAGCTTTACTTAAAAAAAGAAGGCTGGTTTTGTAGCCCTGGAGCCACATCCTCCAGCTCAGGGAATTCTTATCTCAGGTGATGCCACTCCACAGAGGCAGTACAGTTTCTTCCTTCTTTGGAGGATGCTTATTCTAGCAGATGATGGGGAGGGGACCAGCCTGAACATGGGTCTCCTGTTCCTCAGCAAGTCCTGGGAGCCTGCAGACACTTCAGCAGTACCGACTGCATTATGAGTTCTGAGGCAGTGAAGCAAAACAAGAGGAAAAGGCACTTTGCCAAAATGGTGGCGTCTGAAAACAGGAGCCTGCAGACACTTCAGCAGTACCGACTGCATTATGAGTTCTGAGGCAGTGAAGCAAAACAAGAGGAAAAGGCACTTTGCCAAAATGGTGGCCAAAAGGTACCTTAGGAGACTAGAAGAGCGTGTGTTTCAGACCTATCATCACAGCTGATGCTTGCCAGCGGGGAGCATGACAATGTTTAGCCTTCCAGCAGAACTTGACCTGAGTTTCCTTGCACTGAGTCCCTTCTCTGCCACTGCCCAACCCAGATTACAACTAGAACCTAAGCAGGACCTTGAGGATGGGAGAAGAAATCCTGTTCCCTTCCTCCTCTTCTCTAGCTCCACACTGAATGCACTTGCATTCAGCCACTCAAAAGTGGGCATCCTACGTGTCCACGTTTTGGACAGATCATTTCATTCACTATCCAGTAACAAAGTTGTGGAAGTGGAACCAAATCAGACAGAAGGAACAAAGTTGTGGCTACATAGTGCTGAAATCTGTATCAACTTTAAGTCTCTTGAGTCATTTTGAATAAAATGTGCTGCACAACACCAGTGTCTGAGAAGGAATTGGGCTTTTTGCTCATCCCACACTGCTAACGTTCCCTACTGCCCCCGTCCAGCCCTTGTGCCCAAGCTAAAGCATGTTTGCATGTTACCTCCTCCATGTGTGCAGATTATACCGCTGCAGAAAGCACATTGTCTGAAGCAGGTAAAAACCACGTAATATCTCCTGTACATTTTGCCACAAACGTAACAGAGGGAAATGAAATCATTAAATGTGCAATTCCATCTTCTGCTGCAAGTAAATCTACAAAATATCTAATGTCAACACGTGACTCTAGTGAATAGAAAGCACAGGAAATCTGACTCAACCCCATAATATCACATAACAAAAAATTAGATGAATGGAAATTTAGCATCTCCCTCACATTGACTGCAAAATGTTAAGGATACTCAGGCCATTCTCCCATAGTGCCAGAGGCAAACCCTGCACTGTACCCTGCTCACAGTCAGAATAAAGACCCCTGTGTAGAACAGGATACTCTTTGAGGGAGAGAACTAATCATAAGCCTTTCTACTTGAGCCAGTAGAAAACATCATTTTTTCAATCCATACTGTTGATAAGGACAGTCATGAATGAAAACCACTGTAGTGCAAAGCAGTTTATCTGCCAGCCCCTCCGGAGGAAGCCTGCCGGTTGCTGCCTGACTCGCAACTTCCCCACGGCACGCAGGGATAGCTGAGGAGGAAAAAAACCAGTCCATCTCTGCCCCGAGGACACTTGCAGTCACCTCACTAAACCTTCTGAGAGAACACGATTTTCCTGTCCACTGGGCACTGCTCTCTTCACTTCCCATTGGAGACCTACCTCAGCACATGCCCAAGACCTCATTCTCCAGCTGCCTTTTATCCCAGATGCAAGCGGTTTACTGGGAAGTGTATCCTTCCTGCTGGGTAACTGCCACACCAGTTCAATTACTACCTGATTTTCAAAGCTTTTTGCTGATTTCCCCAGCCCTCAATTTCCTTATTAGCTCAAAATAAACACAGGCTGGTTTTGTCAGCTTGTTTCAAACAGGCAGGAGAAAGGAAAACCAGAAAGCAATAAACTGCAGTATGTTGCTCTGCTGGATTAATAATGCGCTGAACAAAACAGCAACTATTTTTCTTAGGGAACATTCCTGTCAATTAAAATAGACAATTTTAAAATGATGCAGTTATTCACCATAATTCCTGTTCTCAAAGAACTCAGTATAAACCTCTACTTCTGCATGTTGCTGCTGAAATCCACATATCCTCATAGCGTATTTAAAGTATACTCAAATTTCTGAGCAGCCAAAACCATTGCTGGCTACACATCTTCAGAAACAACCTGAAAGTGGCAGATCCTCTACAAACCTCTTTTGCTAATGAACCTGGATGAGAAAAATGCTCTAGACTGTAGCACCTTCAAATCTTGGAGGCCACACATATAAAGACCACCACTATTTAAAATCTGGAAAAATCAGTGGACTGTATTAGAAAATCATGACTACAAAGTAATTCCAGACTTTTGGAAAATACTCTGAAAAAATAATAATCTTTCTTTCTAAACAGCAAGTCTTTTTGTACACCAGGTTTTTCTTGAATTTGTATTTTGGTAACATCAAACCTGTATGCTCTTCCCATTCTTGGTGCCCATGCGCACCAAGATGGAAGCACTGTGCTTGGGACACCCTGAGACAAAGACTGGTTGGAACCTCAGCTGTTGTAAACTAAAGTTGCTCCATTAATGACCTATTAATTTAAACTGAGGATGGCAGCACATGAAAGAATAGGGTGGGTGGATGCTGTTGATTTACTTTCAGCAAATATTTGATGACATCATTAGGTTAACATGGGTTCGTTCAATGGGTTTTAATTACATTTTAGTTGAAGGATTCCCTGTTCTTCTACACGCTCTGGAAGGGGAAGACAAACATTATTGTACTGTGAGTGACACAGATTTTACAAAAAAAAAAAATAAATACTAACCAAACCGTTCCCATCTTCTCATTAGATTTATAACTAAAACCATATCATGTAGAGGAAAAAAAAACAACCCAAAGATCTTAGCAAAAGGGGTTTTGAAAGATTTGGAAATGGGTTGATATAAAATGTGATAATCTAACAGAAGGGGGAAAAAAGAGGGAAATGCAAAGTGTTGTAAGGGCTTAAAAATAAACTAGTGTGTGCCTAAGGGTCATACCTGCATTTCACACTTAAACGTACCAGGACTGGAAAAGGCTGGCAAAGATGCAAAACCCAAAAAAAGTGCCTGAAGCAACAGTGGAACTGAAAGAAAAACAACAAAAAGAGATGGAAAAGGACCAAGAGACTTGCAAAGTAAAGAATGAAGCAATAGAGGCAGAAAAGCCCAGGTGAGAGGGAGCAGAAGGGCTGTGGTTCAGCCCTGCACCACAAGTGCCTTGTGGCTTTGGTGCTGCACGTTGTGGAAGCCAGGAGCTTCCTGCATCCAGCCTCCAGCTCCACTGGCCCATGCAGTTTGTTTGCTTAGAAAGCAGCATCCTGGCAATACTTCCTTTCCCCTTCATTTAAAGGTAAAGCTAAATTATGAGGACAAAGAGTTAGAAGGGCTAAATGTCTGACAATTCTTCATCTCTGCCTCTTGCTCCCTCCTCCCATGAAACAAATAAAAACTAAAGCAATTTAAATTGGGTGGCTTGCCAAGAATATCTTTTGCAAATGCATTCACTGTCATTATATGACAGATGTCCACATTTCCATAACATTTCAGCTGAGCTTATCTGCCCTGAAATACCCATATGAAAATTCAGGGATATCTTCAGTTAATTGACATGTGGATGCCAGATCTTGATCTCTCTCTCCGCAGCAGAAGGCACGGACAGCAGTTACACACCACATCAAGTCTGGGAGGACACTCCTGTTTTCAGTTATCTGAAGTTACTTGCTGACATAACAGATCTGTCACAGCCCAGGAAGCTGTAACCGGGATCCGAGTCCATTGTTTGGTCTCTACATATTTTCTTAATTATTGCTGAGTATCTTCATTACAATATGCACAGACGCTATATTCTGACTAAAGCACTGGCCATACTTTCATGCTGGAGTTTTTTAATGTTAGCAGTAAAACTCACTCCACAGTGATGCTGTACACTCATGTACATTTTGAGGCAGTAGAAGGCGACAGCACTGCCGGAGCCCACGTGCTGCCGAGACCTTTACTGCCTCAGTCCCACAGGGGAACTACTCTGGCCTGAAATCCATCCATCAAAACAGAAATGTTCTTGCTCAAATGCTTTTGCCTCTATGCACTGCTGTCACACACCCTTACCTACACAAGTGTTTGAGAAGCACCAGCACAAGCTGCACATCCCTTGTCTCGGGCGCAGCCGGCACAGTTTGGCATTCTCAACAGAAGACCCAGCTGTGTACCATAAATCTTGGAAAGTATCTGCTTTCTTGCACAAAAATCCTATTTGTGGCCAGAAACTGAAAGGGTCTGGATCATATCTTGTTATATGCTATTTGAGAGAATGAAAAAAGGAAAAACAACAACAAAAAAGAACAGCAAATTAGAGCTCTCAACAACACAGTAAACCAACAACCCATCTATGGCTTCTCATACCTTTTAAACCCACTACTGTGCTATAAACTGCCACCAGAATAACTGTGCAGCACAGGAAGAGACATTAACAGCCTTCAGTGCATATGTGCATTTTTATACCTTTCCTATTATCTGATCAAACTAAAATATTGACTCAGAGGTGGTACTGCATTTCCCCTGACAAAGAAGCCCTTCAGTACAGCAGAGTGAACTAAAACTCAGATTCCATTTGAACAGTGATGGCAGCACTTAAAACCACTTTCTCTGGAAATGTTCTTGCCACTAAATATTAATAAAACCTTTACATTAGAGAGCTGCGGAGTTTTGAGAAGAAAACTAATAAGTATGAAGAGAGACAAGCAAAGCAAAAGAAATTGGAAAAGAACCACACCTAAGTGAAAGATGAAAGGAGTGATTCATTTGAAGAGGCTGTCAACAAGTGTGCGGGTGCATTCATGAGTGACACATAAGCAGAAAAGGGCGAAAAGAAGGATATTGAAAGCAGAAAGGAAAAAGAAGAAAAGCATGGCAGGAGAAGAGAAAAAAAGCCTCAGAAGTCAAGGCAAGGACTCTTCAGTAAAGACCTAGTAGAGGCATCGCACTCACGAGTGCGAGTCGTCACGTCGCTCATGGAAGTGCAGTCCTGCAACTCCCGAGCCCTCCCAGCGCTCCAGGGAGCCATCGGCGAGGTGCTGTGCAAAAAGGCACTCTCTTACTGAAGGAACTGGTGAAATGTTAAGGCCCAACACCCTCACTGGGTAAGAGCTGTGCCAAAGACCTTCATCAGACGTGGAGCTCATCGTATATTTTCAGCTGATTTGTCAAAAGCGCTTGGTTTGGCTTAATGCCCAACAAACTCCCATTCCTCCTATTAAATGGAATCAAACCAGTGCCAGGGGCTTATGCATTTCCATCCCACGTCCTTGTCTTTGTCAGAGGGTCTGATCACCGCTGAGAGCACGTTCAGGGGGTTACTCACAGGAACAACAAACCCCCAAAACAAACTCACGTAAATGTAATGCTGAGATAATCAAATGCACAGGCAGAATAAACTTCGTGTCTACATTTCTTTCCTGTCCCCAAAGCAATGACTTTCATCAGGAGGAAAGGTAAGATATGCCAGGAAACATTAACCTTTGTCAGCCATTATTTCTTATAATAAAGTATCCAGAGACACTAGGAAATTTTTCAGAACTCTACTACAGATCCTTGTGCCAATAAAACCAAACATAAGACACTTTGACCTGTGTATTTAAAAACAAAAAGTAGTTTGCAGTCTTGGTCACCTAGTTCTTCACCTTTGAAACCCCACAATCAGCATATTTTGTTTCAATTACTTTTGCAACAGCTACAGGCTTAGGTGCTATTTTCACAAGCACTATTTTCTGGTTTTGGCACCCCATCTAAGAGATGTTCAATGAACTCAACACCCACAATGAGGGTGTTCCAGTCTTTGGCAAGATCTGGTAATGCATTTCATGGCTCTTTACCTGAGCACCTCAAACTCCAGACAAATAAAACATACGGCCACTTCTAAAGATTTTACCCACAAAGAATCTTCTGCACAATTTATCCCCCAGTATTGTTCCAGACCCAAGACAAACCACAACAGTATTTTTCAGGCAGATTTGTTAACATTTGCCCTGAACACCATTCTTGACAAGAAAATAATATTCTTTATCACTGAAGATCAACCTTTGTCTTTCCTACTGAAGACTGAGCACATGCTAATGGACAGACACATAATCATTCTTGCTGTCCTCTTTTTCTAGATTAGCAAATTAGGGTACAGACAAGTTACATAAATTGCTGTGTCACCTAGCAAGTCAAGAGCTAAGCTAGAGCTATAGAGGCCCTTCCAATTATCATTTTATAGGTGAAGAAAAAAAAACACCACACTTTACATAAAATCTGCCTTAAGAAAGGAAATTGTTAGCCTGAGGCTGAGATCTTTGAGCTGATCTTGGCTTATATCAATGAATACATCAGAGCCAGTGGATTTTACTTCTTACTACATTTCACTGCTACCTTAGATTTTACATTCAAATAACAGTACTACGTTCGATAAAAAGCTGTTTTCTTCTTCAGACTAGTATCTTCATTTAAACTAGTGTTTGATTTAAACAAAATGCAACTTCTTTTTTCTTCCAGTGGGCAACTTCATTTGCAGACTTTATGGATTTTCCTAAGAATTACTTAACAAAATGTAATACGAATACACTCTAGTTTGCGTGTGTTTATATGAAAAATACAAGTGACTCCAATTCTTAGTGACCTTCAGAATTTTCCATTCTTAAAAACATATTGGGAAAACCTTCGACTTCATACTTGCTTATTTATTCAATTTAATTTCAGTCTTGCATTTACGTATCTAATATATTCCTCAAAATATTAAAAATAATATAAACCAATTATTATTACTTAAAACATTTGCATTTTTAAAGCAAAATATTTTCCTTAACTATAAAAAGTACTTGGTATTTTAACAGCAAGAAGCTCTTGGAATAAAACCAGAATGTAAAGGGTCAGTTCAATGTGATTTTCAACTCTTAAATTAATTAACTATAAGTAGAGGCTTCCAGTAAATTTTTCTTAGTAAAGTATCAACACCTGCAAAGGAGAAAAATTAATGAAAGCATTGTCATAGTTTTAAATAAATACCCCACTCAATCACAAGCAAGATGAATAACAGCTGTGAGAGCCCTTGATTACCCAAATGATCAGCCTGAGTGTTCAAATGCAGTAATGTCAAATGACAAGTAACACTGGTTGTATCTCAAGCACGAAGACTGGAGCGTTGCTGTCTAGCTGCTGGCTACTGTTCCCACCAACAGAAGACACCCACCTGGGGCAGCATGCGATTTTCCTCCTCCAGCTGTCTTACTCTTGCCTCCAGCTGCCTAACATAGGACAAGGTTGATTCTAAAAATCAAAAAAGAAAAAAAAACTCATATTATCCACTGAGATCTGCTTGTGTTTACTAATGCCAGAGCCTGTGCCCCATCCTGACTTGTACTCACAGCAGATTGCCTCTCTCAAACGTCCATTAAACATTCAGCTCTGCTCCTCGCAAGGGCAGTGCAAATAGCGCCGATACTAGAATAAATCAAATCCCTTGTTGCTTGTGATTCTAAACTGCTGCACTTAAAGGTGGCCCCTTCTCAGACACAAGGTATCTTACAGAAAGGCAGCACAGACTTGTGTTCTTCCAACCCACCCCCAAAGCTGTATTTTGGAAATACTCCACAAGAGTAATGCGTTATCCCACCAAGTCACCACTGAAAAGCCCAGGAAGACAAAGTCAAAGTGGCCCCTTCTGCAAGAAGTGTCCTCCTCCTGCAGGAAGACACAGTCAGAGTGGCCCTTCCACACAGTCTGGTGGCACACACAGCCCCTGCCCCCTCAAGCCTGTGGAGAAGCCAGCAGCTTGCCAGCACAGAGGCTCAAGCCTCAGCCAGGGACCAGAAACGTTGTCCCAGCTCAAGCCTGTGCTAGAAAGCAGAGGTGTGTCCCTAGGGCTCCAAGATGGTCTGGAGCCTGGTTGACAGCACGACAGCCCTGGGTGCAGTGATGTTCACAGCATCTGCTCCTCACCCCACACAGGCCAGGGCAGTGTCCTACTAGGACATGCTCTCACAGCTCTGCTTTGCTGCGTGGGCTCAGCTGAAGAGCAAAATCTTGCCCACTCTATTCACAAGTAACCTCACTGACCTTCATAAAATAATTTGGTAGATTATGAAGAATATGAGAGACTCCTAGCCTGCTCTGTTTCCAAGAACTTAATATAAGAGGAGATCCATGATTCATCCCTAAAAGCATCTGAGACCTTTCTTATCACACATTTCTTGGGTCAGACAGAACTTCTGCTATTAAAGTCCTATATCAAAGAGAAATACATGCCTGAGAAAGTAGCACTCATTGACTGTAAGAGAAAAGATATCTCCTCAGTCCAGAAATCTGCTGTGACTCTTGTATCTCCTTGGATATAGACAGAAGTTCACTGCGTGCTTCTGACTCAATGATCCACTCAACTTTCTCCGAGATGTCAATTCCAGTAACATATTTATACCATGTAACTAGTCAAAGTATCTCTCTGATGATTAATGGTACAGAATCCATGGGTATTGGGACAGTACTGTCAGCCAAGCAAAGCTGCATTGACAACAGAGCTATTTACTGGTTTAAACTGACAGAGGGATTTGTGCACCAGTTTCTTCTGATACCTAATCACCGTGCCAGCCTGCCCATAAAATAAAGGTGATGGGAAATGAGGTGTCACTTACTGCTCTGACGAGACTGCAATAGGCTAAAACATGCACACACAGATAGTGCATGGGAATTTACACAACATGAAGTAATTTGTCAAAGATGATTAATACACAGCAAGGTACTGGATTAAAAATAGCATTGTACAATAAAAGGGAAAGAGGTAATCTGAGGTTCTGCGCGCTCTGCTGCATACGGATTTTCATAGCTAGTGATGGGTGCATCTCTGGAGAGTCGCTAAGCCTAGCTCAGATGAGCACTTAAAAGATGAACAGCTTATTCAATTAACTGTATACGACAGGGTCCCTCCCATCAAATCAGCTTCCTACCCAGCAGCAGCACTTTTGGGAGGAGCCGCAGAAGCTCCCTCACCATTGTGGCCATTAGCATAGGCTATAGCTCCCAGCACATCTCATCTCTTCTCTCTGTTGTTTTCTACAGAAGATGATTTCTGTGGAGCCATCTTTTTGCAGTGACTGAAGTATGTGCTTTCTTTGGCACTGGCCGTTTCTAAATTCACTGGCTACAAGTTCACTGCGATGTTAGTTTGGGCTTGGGCTTCATGCTCGAGCTGTGCCCCACCGGCCCATTTCATGCAAGCTCTCATCTAGATTTTCTTTGACTCTGGGTCTTGTGTTATTTTCTATTTTACCATTTATTAGCTTTTCATGTGGTGTATAACTCTTGGCAAAGTTTGCCTCTCAGTTCTATTTCTTCACTCGTATGTTGGGAGTCCAGAGTTGAGATCTCTGCTGCTTCAAATCACCCAACTCTGCTGTCAGTCCACAGCTTACCAATGCCAGTTCATACCAGCTGAGGATTTGGTCTGGAATCTCCATGCCTGATAACCCTTCTAAAGTGTGAAACAGTTATTTAAATCTCCTTTTGTAATCTGATCAAAACAGAAAATTAGGTCATCTACCAGAGGCTTCATCTAGCAAATCCTTATTTATGTGAGTCTTCTTGACACACAGACTAAATGCATATATATTTCAGTATCTGTTAATATATTTATGCTGTGATGCTATGAGCTTAGAGGAAAATATGAGCAGAAAAGCCAGTCAAGGACATAAGAGACAGAGGAATTGAAAATACACAAAGTGAAACACTGCCATCAAACCTGGAAAAAAAAAAAAAAAAAAAAGAGAAAGAAAAAAATTTGCATCTTCTAAGTATTTACAGGAAGTCCTATATGATCCATCTATTCTTAATCAGCCTGTTCTAAATACAGAGCAAATCTTAAAATCCCATCCAGAAACTAGTTACCTGATACCACTCCCATTGTCATTCCAGGCAAATTTTCACAAGACAATTAAGCAATTTAAAACTGAAGCAGAATGAACTGATGATAGTAATGCTTCAGCTTCAGTATCTGAGCTGAAAACAAATGTCTCCCAAAGGGAAAGCAGCACAGAAGCTTAGCATCACTTCCATAACATTACTGTTGTCTTATAATAAAGCATTTAATAAGATGCTACAGTGTGTCAGGCAACCACTGCTCTGAAACATAACCTGCGCAAACAAGATGATCCCCAGCTGATGTCATTAGTCATAAAACCTTTTTGTGGTTTATCCTTCCCCAGACAGATTTATCTCACATTGCTCATTTTCACAGAGCTGCAAGTACACATAAAAGCCCTCCCTTATTTGCAGAATCTTAAACTTGAGTTGTAAACTGCTTATAGATAAACTTCCAAATACAAATCTGCCAAGCTTCCTCTGCCGAGAACACAACCAGCGAAAAACAGCATCTGTATTAACACCATAAAAGCTCAACTAACTACATTCTGGGTAATAGCTCAGAAACTGTTAACTATGTTGAGATCAAACACATACTCAAAACAGACAAACAATTAATTTGGGTCCATATCTAAAAAAGATCTGAATCATGACACAGAATCATGCCAGTGCAGTAACCAAACTAACTGTTCCATCACCTGTGGGCTCCTGGGTGCCCACACCTTCCCATCTTCCCTCGCTGGGCACTTCTACAGGCGCAACAATCTTGCACAATTCCCATTTCCAGGAATGGATCCCTACCAAATGAGCTTCCCTACTTGACCTTCCTGTGCTCTTAGCATCGCTGAAAATGTGATCACTGTGTGGTGCTTCGGTCCAGGGCTGAAACTAAAATTCTTTTCCAAATTAATAGAGAAACAGTAATATCTTGCTTTTAGGGAAATTCAGTGACAATCCACCTCTTCTCCACATCCATCACTCTAACATGTTATTAGAGAAATCAATATTTACGTAGCTGATCTCTTTTTCTTTTGACATCCACACTCTTGAAGCTAGTAGATATTTTGGGGTTATGTCAAACTCAAATCAGAACTCCAGAGAAAGCAAAACACCAAGGGTTCAACCTACACTTCTACTTGTTCAAATTAGCTTGAGTAACAAGCACAATACAGCAGGTGGAAGATCTAAAGATCAGAGGAGTATTTGAAGTAAAGAAAGAGTAGGAGATGCAACACCTCTAGTACTGAAATAAATACAAGAAGTGCTTTAACTCAACAACTGAAATTCCTTTTTTTCTGCTCTTTGAAAAAACCCACAAATTCCAAATTATAGTGGCTATCTGCAAAAACTGAGCATGGGAATTCCACAGACCTCCTTTTGACTAACTGTAAAGGATAAACCCATCAACTCAGAAGATGCTACTTGCTTCATGGAAGTTAAAAAAAATTTATAGAATCTTTTAACTTTGGAGAAAACTGGTAATATAGTGGATGCACAAAGCAGACATCCCAGAGGAAGCAGAGCAAAATCCTCCACACTGAAAATACTTAGAAGGCAGGAGGCATTAGGAAAAAAGAGTAATACTGTTTACCTGTATTCCTAGCCATTAACTTATGGCCAGCATGAAGAGCAGATGCTACGCTGGACAGAAGGCTGCTCTGAAGCAGCAGCAGCTGGTCCTTCCATCCTCACAGCCAGAAAATGGAAAAACACAATTTCATCATAATGCAAACATCACCTCGGTTCCGTTAACATCGACATTTTCTGGTTCCACTGGCTCAGCTCTGTTTCGTATTCACGTTCCTAAAGGAGGTCACCAGAATCTGGAGAGCTGTCACATCCCGCTATGTATATTTTAAACACTTAGGGTATAAATGAGGGAAACTGCCAGAAGTTTACCTCAGCAAAGAATTTAGCATGTTATGTGTAGTGATACTTTGATGTATAGCAATGAAGGTTTGGTTAAGGTATATTCAACTTCAACGGGGAAAGTCATTTGTTATACTGCGCTTCCTGCACTGTGTTGGCAGGAATGTAATAACTGCACATCAAATTGGATTTTGGTCATTCAAATCCACACCCAGCACCCTGCAATGAAAACTTAATAATCTTTCAATGAATTGAAGATGAAAAACAAGGCTGTACAAGGGCTATTTTTAAACCCTCCTGTAATTAACTGACAGCTCCATACGTTTATGAAGGGGTTTCTATGCTAACTGGGGAGCAGATTCAATGACACGCAAAGTATCTCCCTGTCCTATAATTCCTAGTCATCTGATTTAATTACTTCAATATTAATATTCATGACTAAAACATGTTATTACTGCAATCCATCCCCTTTCAGCTATCTTGCTTCAATATAAGAAAAAAAAAAAAAAAATCACACTGCTGGATTGACACTAACACAAATTTACACC